ATATACTGGAGTGAGTTCAGCAAATGGTGAAGGGCCTGGAGAATCTCTTGTATGAGGAGAGGCTGAGAGACCTGGGACTTCAGCCTAGAGTGGAGGAGGCTTGGGGATTTTATTAATGTATATAAGCCCCTTGTAGGGGGAGTGAAGAAAAGGAGGAGGATCCAGGCTCTTCCCAGTGTCAGGACAAGAGGCAACGGGCACAAACTGAAACACTTTGTATTCAAGCATAATAAACTTTCTTTAGTGTGAGGATGGTCGAACACTGGACAGGCTGCCCTAGAGGCCACATGTTCTCCAACCTTGGAGATGCTCAAAGCCTGACTGGACACGGTCCTGACCCTCTGCTTCCCCCGGTACTCTTGGCCAAGCCTCTCTGCCCGTAAACGCGTGATGCCACCGTACAGACCTGGCTGTAAAGGGTGGAGGGGTGGGGAAATCCAGCAGTTATGGGCTGTGAAAGGTCTGCAGCCTGTTCCCGAGGCAGCAGGGCATTTGCTAGGATTTAAAATGTTTTTTAAGCAGCGGCTGCTGTAATCCTATCACTGCCAGGTCAGGAGTTGAGCTGGTGTTTTATTGTCTGACTTCGCATGGCGCTGAAGGGCTGGAGAGAGCCCTTGAGTAATTCACCACCCGGACGGGGACCCGCCTCGGTCAGGCAGAGCAAAACAAGGCTGTTACGGCTTCCTTCTGCCAACGGGCTGAGGAATAGGAAGTCATTTGGAAATAAAGCTCCACTCGGCATCAGGATGTACCTGTGGCAGTTTGCAGCTTTGCGTTTGGAGCTTGTGTTCATGTTGAGGTGGCATGAAGGAATGGCAAATGTGAAGGTCGGTGTAACACCAGGCTATTTTCTGCTTTCTGCCTGAGTTTCCTGGGGCCTGAGCCCTGAACCAGCTCCCCGGTCCCGCTCGTGTTGCAGCGCTTCTCTGTGGAGCAAAGAAATATAAATAATAAACCCTTCTTTTGCCAGGGCTGTGCACTTGCAGCTTTACTTTGAGGATACCGAGTACGTACTCATCACGCGTCCGGCTTTCCCATAATTCACACGTGCTCTCGTCACCCTCGGCTGACGGAGCGTGGTGACCGGTGCTGCGGAGCCTGGCCTGGGCTCAAGCTGTGCCCGGGCAAAGCCGAACCCACAGAGCCCGTGTTTCCGTGGCATCGCCACGCTTGAGGCTGGTTGGAGTTTATTTCTTAACAGCCAAGTCTTCTCTAAACATGCTAAATGTGTTTTTTCTTCCTTGGTTTCACATTTTATTATTACAGGCACCTCCCGTGACTTCTTGTCCTTCCACGCACGCCGCTGTGGTCCTTTTCTTCATTTCCTCTGCTGGCAGTAAGCTGACCCAGAGCCCCTTTGGGCTTGGTTAATTATTTCACCCGCTGCCGTATCACGTGCTCCCTTTGTGCAGATACTTCCTCCGCTAAGCCCAGCCTTCGCATCGTCGGCACGCTCGAGGTTGGCTTTCTGATCCGCTCAGAAATGTAGCCTAGTCCCGGGGTGCTGCCGGCAGCTCTCTAGGAAAGCGCTCTGGCTTTACCCTAAGCGAGCGTGCCCTGTGTCCCTTCAGGAACAGGATAACTGGATTTGGGGCGCAGGCTGTCCCTGGGGACACCCAGCATGCTGGCCAGCAGTGGCACTGAGTGGCCGTTTGGAGCTTGGTCTCCCTTAATCTCCATGCAGACGTGCTGGGGGAGAATTAGCCTTACAAATTTGCATTTGAGATAATCCCTTCGAGTGGATTAAGAAGCTGTTTCCACTCCTGACGAGAGGGATGCTCTTTCTCCTTTGTGTTCAGCTCAAAGGGTTGAATTTAAAGGGGCTGTCCAAGACCTCATTGATTTTTGGGTGGATATAAGCAGCTGGACTCTGGGTGAAAGCAGCCCGAACTCCAGCGCCGGTGGCCAAAAAGCACTACGCTAGAACCAGCTTTCGTCCCCTGTGACGCCTTAATATGAGCCCTGTCCTCCTGTGTGCGCTCATGGTCCCAGAGATGTGTTTTCCAGGATCTTCGGTAGCTTCTGAAGCATGGGAAAAGGTCCTGGTCTGCTCCGTGGTCCAGCATTGGGTCGATTGGCGTTTAATTCCTGGCTTTGCCACCAACCTCTGGCTGCCAGACGGCCTTCAGCAGCAAACCCCCTCCCAGTAATTTTCCAAAAGCCCCCGATGCTCCAGCCGGAGCAATGACGATCTAGATTAAGGATAAATCCTTCCTTTTCCCAGAAATGGCTTTCTTGGGATTTCTGAGGCCAACTGAGAGCTGGGGATGGGATGTACTGCTGGCTGGGGGCTGCAGGGGGGCATGGGATGGGTGAGCAAACCCCGATGACAGTGGGTGCTGATGATGATCCAGGGGCCCCTGATTTTTTTGCCAGCAGCAAGGGGAAGGTGCACCTCATCGTTCATCCTACCTCTGATGGGACTGGGGACTGCTGTGCTTACGCGGCGAGAGCCCCGGTCTTGCTGCCTGAGGGTGGGGGCTGCCAAATAAAGTGGTTTTTTTTAAGTCTGTGCGTTCTGAGATGTGGGGGGAGTGCAGAGAGCTGCAAGCGCTTTACCGGGGTATTGATGAGGTTGCAAACTCCTTTGATTTAACTCCTCGAGAGCTTTCAAGGGGAGGAGAGCATGGAGCCTCCTGCTCGAACAGCATCTTGAAGGTTTGAGGATGGGTCAGGCTATCTTCCCTGAGATTAGTTCTGGCTTAACAGCCTCCCCTGGCCCGTCCTGCACCCAGGGCTTTCCGCGGAGCAGGGCAGCACCAGGTTCTGCTGCTGCTAGCGGTGCCAGCCTTTACAGGGAGCTGCCTCTGCCATCTCAGCTTCACACCTCACCGGTGGCTGGTCTCCAGTGTCCCAGAGGTGGATAGTTGCAGGCAAGTCCTAAGGTAGCTGGTGGGGGTTGGTGAAACCCCTGTTAATGTGTTTTATTGGCCTCAGACAGGAGAAATGCCATCAGAGGGACAAATCGCCCCGACACAGGGGCAAGCTCAGGAGGGCGAGGGGTTCCCTGGACTGGGCCGTGTCTCCGTTTCTCTCCTGACAGCTCGTGGCTGTGTCCAACCTAGGCTGGGGGCTTAGCCCCAGGCTACGTCTGGTCTCCTGGGCTTTTTCCCGAAGGTTTTGTCCTATTCCCATTGAATTTGCAGCCCCTGGAGCAGTAGCAGGCGGCTCGGCCGAGGTTACCTTTTCCACATGGGCCACCAAATCTGAGGAAGGACTGGCCGTGGCCAGGAGTGTCCCTGGAGCCTGGTGGCAGCCGGTCCCTGGCACTCACCGGAGCCACGCACCCTGGCCCTGGTGGGTTTTCGGGGGATGCTGGTGGGACACGCTCCACCCCAGCTCCTCACCAGCGTTCAAATGTATGTGAATGTACATCGGGTGAGCTGGGTCTACCAAAAAAATCCAACCAAAGCCCATCTGCTGTTCACAGAGCCAGCTCCCCTGCCTGATGGCATGCCTTTCCCTGTCAGTCTGGCCTGGTGCGTTAAACCCAGCTGTGAGATGCTCTCTCTCAATTAGTCAACTCTTAAATGCCTCGTTAAGTAGATGAAATGACTGTTTTCCTCCTGAATTTTGGAGCCATCAGCAGCAGGAGGCCCTGAGGAGTGACCACGTCGGCCGTTCCCTGCCAGGAGCTGCAGCTCTCCATGAAATGCCAAGTCCTGGGTGGCACAAGGTGTTCATGTAACCCCTTCCCTGCCTCTTCCCCTGTCTTCAAGACGTAAATGCTTTTGAGAAGCAAGCCGTGTGGGAATGAGCTCCTGGCACCTCTTGCCTGCGCTGTGCTGCCAGTGCCCAGCCGCTCCGCTGGCGTGGGGATGGACCCATCCCTTCCAGACAAGCTGTGTTGTTTCGGCTGAGCCCCGCTCCCCATCCAGTGGCTTTTACAGCGGATGCCCGAGCTGTTCTGCCGCAGGAGGTGTCTCTGGACCAAAGAGATCCGCAGGGAGGTAGGCTGCGAAATCACCTTTAGGGATTGCAGTTGTGGGCGAGGAGGGGGGAAAAAGAAAACAAACTTTTATTTTATGGGTTTTGAGGAGAAACGGGGTCCTTCTCTCCCCAGACCTACTAACTAGGCAGAGTGCCGAGGGGTTCGCTTGCATCCCAAGATGGGAATCTGCTGCGGGGCTGCGGGTGGCTGGCAGCCCGGCAGGTCTGTGGTCGTTCTTCTCCAGCCGACCTTCTTACCTCCGCTCAATGGGCAGATTTCATCGGGGAAATCACTGCCTTCGCCTTTTTAATTTGATTCTCCGTCTGTGAAATTAGCAACTTGTTTTCATTAATCCTCTGAGCCTGACTCTTGGGCTCACGTTTGAGCCCAGCAAGGCTTGCTTGAACACTTTGTGCTTTCCCAAAGTGCCTCCTGGGAGGCCTTGGCTCAGGCAGGGAGCTCTTAACCTCATTTCCAAGCTTTGCTTTTCTAGTGTGAACAAGAAACTTCAGGACTCAAAATACGGGCCCTAAAAAAGCTTTACAGCCCTTGGTCTCAATAGACGTTGTCGGACCTTGGAGAACAATGTAGCTCTGAAACGTGGGAGGGGAAACCAAGGTAAAAGACTCCTGTGGGCTGGGGATATTTCCATCCCGGGTGCAGCCGGGTGCGAGTCCAGGCTGTTGGGGAGTTTCCAGGGGTTTAGGGGTGCAGGAGGTGGGATCGCATGGCTGGGAGTTGGGAGTGGGATCGAGCTTTGCAAAATGGACTTCTGCGCCTCCCCTTGCCTTGCGCCCGGCCCCATTGCTGCCAAACTTTGCCGGTTCTTAACCAACAACTTTATTTTGTCGCTGTTGCTGCGTGTAACAGAAGGAAACTGTGGTTATCGCACTTCCTGGCCGCGAGCCGGCAGGCGAATGAAAGCTCGCGGGTTTGCCAGCCCTTTGGCACGGGCCGCGAGCTTCGGAAGCCCCCGAGACGAGGGTAGCAGCTTCTCTCCCCCTGGGAGGTGCTTTCGGTGAGCCACCAAGGGCTCCGTGCCGGCACGGTTTGGTTCTGCTCTCCGTAGCGGGTACTTCAATGGAGAACGAGGTAGGTGCTGGTTTTAATATCGACTCCCAGAAATGGAGAAGCTGTTGTTCCACGTTGCGTCACGCCGGGTGACGCCTCCTCCTTGGATTTGGGCTCCCCAAATCCTCCTTTAAGGAGAGCCTGTGGCTCTCCCGCGGGGCTCGGGTGCGTGGGATGGTGGGGAATCCCTCTGCAGCATCTTCCCAGCCCCGTGGAGGCTGCCTGCATCCTTGAAGCAAAAGCGAGAGTTTCTTCTGGTTTTCTCCATATGGATTGGGCTGGATCCGGCAGCCCCCGCACAGAGAGCTGAAAGGAGCCGGAGCCGCCAGACCCCAGCTGGTGGAGGGGGAAGCGTCTGGGGGACCGTTGTGGTACAGCCCTGACCCCGGCGGCAGATTCCTGCATCTCTCTGCTTTTGATTCCTAAAAGATGCTGGTGGAACGAGATCTTTACGCGGCGGCAGCCCAGGTTTGGGGTCGGACACCTTGTAGTTGGGGTGGCAGAGCCCGCGGTTGAGCCCTGTGCTCTGGGCTTGGCAAAGAGACCTGTTCCTTTCAGGATTTTCTTCCTTCTGGAGCCAGCAACGGTCTCCTGGCCCCTCGATGGGAGCCAGCTGGGTTGCACAGTGCAGCGTGATGCTCCATTTTGGGAGCCCAGCTGAAGGGAGGGATGCTGCCCCTAAAATCTGCAGTGTTTGGTGGTGCTGGTCCTGCTGCTGTAAAGGCAGAGCTGTTTCATGAGGCCAGCATCATATAGCTGTATTTTCTATCCCTTTTGTCCTATAAACTTGCCCTATTTTTATCTCCCTGGTCCAAGGGACATTTTTCAGGGCGGGGCTGTCCCCGACATCCTTGTGGTGCCTGGCTCACTCTGGGATTTGATGAATACATTCAACCAGGAGCTCTTCCATCCCACTTTCCCATCCTAGTACAAAGGTTTCAAATTCTTTCGGTCTGGCTTTGATCTCTCTTGTGTCTGTAAATCTTTCATGCTCGTCTACATTGAGAAAAGCAACGAGAGAGGCTGAAGCTGCCTGATGGGAGCAGGTCCCAGGCGTGCACCTGAACCTGGTGCGTCAGCGGCTGTGCGGGGAGGGACACTGCTGGGAGTAGGTGACATGGTGGTGGCACTCCCCCACCAAATATAATGTCCTATGGTGAGGCTCAAGCAGTTTAGGTGAAGGGTCTGCAGCAGTTCTTCTTGATGGTGGTTTCCAAAGCAAGGTCCTGCAGTGGATGGCGGCAAGAGATGAGCTGAATTTGCTGGAGGCTGCTGCTCTTTGAGGTTGCAAAGTACTCCGCGCTTTTCTGAGCAGGAGCACTTGGTTTGCATTTAATTATTTTGCCTTTCGAAGCATCTTTTCTGCCTCTGCAGATTGTACAGTCCTTTTTCTTGCCCTGAGAACCAGGAAAGCCAAAGTGTGGTTGCCCTGAGGGGTGGGAAGCAGAGAGCATCACTGCTGTGGGACGGGGCAGCCGGAGCCGAGCGCGTGCGGGGCATCGGAGCTGCGTGGCCGGGCAGCCAGCGAGGCCACCGAGGAGCTCTGCCTTTTCCCTCTGGACTGGCATTTAACACCGCTGTGAATCCCAAGTGTCGAATCTGCCCACTTCAAAACATCCATTTGAGCTGGTAAACTTGGAATTGGAGAAGTCCGCGCATGCTCTCGGTCATTTAGCCGTCGGGCAGGCTGGCGCAGAGCTTAGTGGGGATCTACCACGGGTCAGCTCTGCCGCGACGGCCCCTGGGTGTGCAGCGTTCCCGGGCTGTCCGCTCCGCGCTGCGGCAGAAGGACGGTGGTGATGCTCCCTCTATAGCTGGGAGCCCGTGTGTGCACGCTGCTGCCGGCTGGACTCGTGTTTGCTCCGATATTTTTCCAAACCCAGCACTCGATGGTTTGGGAACCAAAAAGACCTGCTTTTCCCAGGGGAGGCCATCTCCTGGCTCGTGTACTCGCGTTTGTGGGTCTCCCCAGTGACCTCAGGCAAGTTTGCAGCATCTCTGACTTTTCCTTTTGCAATCCTTCGTCGAGTTGCTCCCTGCAAGTGCTTGGGTGAAACATAAAATTGCACCGAGGTGAAGAGGAAGCCTGCCAGTTTTGCACATGGCCATGGCTCGCTCACTCTTACAGCTCTTAATCTGAATATATATTTGTATTTGTTCTTAACTGAAAAGTTGGACATCATGACTTTGGGGGAAAAATTATCCTGTTTTGGTAAAGGGTGCTTATCAGCACTTGCGTTCTTGCAACATGTTGCAGGAAAGGGGTTTCAGCAGAAGATCAGGCACTCGTGGATTCATAGCTCTAAAACCAGCCAGTCCGTGGGGTTGGGGCTGGTAAAACCAGGCTGTGAGTACAGATGTACAGGCTGGAGGAGCGCTGGGCAGTGGGTGCTGCCGGTTTCCCCCCATTTCGGTGCACAAACTCCCTCTCTTGCCCTTAACCCCAATGCCCTGGTGTTTCTCTCCGCAGCCTGGAATAGTGTCTCCTTTCAAACGAGTCTTCCTGAAGGGCGAAAAAGGTCGGGATAAAAAAGCCCAGGAGAAGGTTACGGAGAGACGGCCCCTGCATACGGTGGTGGTGTCCCTGCCTGACCGCGTCGAACCAGACGTGCTGCTGAATGACTACATCGAGAAAGAAGTGAAGGTAACGTCTGCCTGGCTGGGGCTCGTATGTAATTATATATACACATAACTCATATGTATATATATATATATAGCGTTAGGATAACTTAAATGCATGAGAGATCTTCCATATGCAGGTGTACTTAGCAGCTTCTAGATAGGGGCTTGGGGCACCAGCGCTTTGCTCTGTGTTGATGGTGTCTTTCTTGCAGTAGCTGGCATGTTTGGGGGTGTGCTGAACGTGTACATGCTGTAGTAACGGTTTGGTTCTTCTTTTCCAGTATTTAGGTCAACTCACATCCATCCCAGGGTACCTGAATCCCTCCAGCCGCACGGAAATCCTGCATTTGATCGATAATGCAAAGGTGAGCACTCAGCCTGTTGAGTGTAGTCTCTATCTAACATGCAGCATGGAAAAAAAAAGGCTTGTGGAGTTTCCTTGGGGCTGGGTGCTGGTCTGAGTCGTGTCCTCCATCCCATGGGAGGGAAGCCCTTTACCAAAAGGGGAAACAGTTCAGCAAATCAATGGAAATACATTTATTTTAGAGAGCACACCAGCTCCCGGGGCAGCTGACCCAAGAACACGATGCTGTTATCAGTCTCTCTGCCTACAACATCAAGCTGGTGTGGAGGGATGGAGAAGATCTCATCCTCAGGGTCCCCATCCATGACATCGCGTCCGTTTCCTACATCCGAGATGACTCCTCTCACTTGGTCGTGCTGAAAACAGGTAGGTTGTGGCCAGCGTGGCCAGGCTGTAGCCTTGTGTTTTGGGGTTGCCGTCTATTTTGGGGTTGTGGGGCTGAGCCCCACAGCAGCCAGTATTGCCCTTGTGTAGGATAGCAGCCGGCCTGACCAGGAACAGGGCAAAGGCAATGCTGGGTGAGGACAGACCAAAACAATCGGTGTCCTTCACAGAATCACAGAATCATAGAACGGTTTGGGTTGGAAGGGACCTTTAAAAGTCACCTAGTCCAACCCCCTGGGCAGGGACATCTTCAACTAGATCAGGTTGCTCAGAGCCCCGTCCAACCTGACCTTGAATGTTCCCAGGGACGGGGCATCTACCACCTCTCTGGGCAACCTGTGCCAGGGCTTCACCACCCTTGTAAAGAATTTCTTCCTTATATCTAGTCTTCTGCCTGGATTATTTCAGTCCATCCTTTTCTAAGGGGGCTGGAGGAAGGACTGGGTTTACGCATGTTCCCCCAAGGGTGCTCAGAAGAGTGAGCACGCTGGGAAAGATTAAGGATGTTGGAGCTGGGCTGGGTTGTGTCTGGAGATGAACTGTGGGCTTATGTACAGATTAGAAATTCCTCCCGTAGCCTGTCCTCCAGCAACTGCCAAACCCCAAATGAGAGCTGTCATCTACTGACTCTTAGGAAAGTTTGGGATCTTAAAGTCTAGTAGTTTATTCTGCATTGCCCATCCTGCTCCAGTCTGCGGGGTCCTCCGTGGAGGTCAGCAAGGAGGAAAAGCAAGGAGAGCAGGTAGAGGCAGCTCCTCCAGCCTGGTCCCCACGCATGTCGGACCTGCCCTGCTCTTTGCAACCCTTCTGCAGGTTGCTAGGAGGATTTCATCGTGATGTTGGATGTCTAAATGCCCATGTTGAATAACCGGGGTGATACCCACCAATTCCAACGCACCTCACTTCTTGTAATACCTGGGGAGGGCCTCAAATCTGTCCCTAGCAGTTCTGTGTGTGTCAAACCTGCGTGGTTTTGGGCTGGAGTGTTTGGGGAAGGCTGAGCTACTTAGAGGATGTAATGACAGAGATTTACCGGATTATAAACCTCATGGCAGCAAAGGACAGCCAGTAGAATAAATAAGTGACTTAGAAGGCTGTAATTCTGCTGATGGATTTCTGAGGCCGGCTAAGCCGTG